ACAGAAGTTGGTAAGTAACAACTTGGTAAAATTTCCCTTGCCATTTATATTTTCTATTTGGCACATACCATAGTATTCAATATTTGACCTGCATTTTGGCCATAGGTAGCCCACAATTTGGAGCTCTCAATAGACCGCTCGCATCGACAGTGCTTTTTCACATTCGGTAAATACAGCTGGGTTATTATGAATAAAGACTTATATATATGCACAGGCTTAGCTTTGCTTGATTAAGAGCAAATCATTTGCAAAAGTAACCATATTGCAAAGAATGTGCTGCTTGAGTACAATACCAATTCTTTGAAATCGCACAGACTTTTAATGGTATTTGTGAATAGCTGAATCATAAACAAGGCTTAAAGCCTGTGCAAATGAGTCTCATGTGGTCTTCAAAAACAGCGATATGCGACTGGTGTATTCACAGAGCAGTGGGATTTGCAGGACTAAACAAAAGAATTTTACTCCCACGAGAATTAAAAATCCAATGTTTGCCTTCAAGTTGAGCTGCTCTGGGAATTGATGCAAGGGGTCTATAGATTTCAATACTTCTATGGATGCATACATGTATGTATATGTAGGGAATTACAGTTAAATGTTGAAAATGAAAAATATTGTCTTTTACCTAAAAACAGGAGCTAGAAATACACAGACATCTCTGATGTGGACTGTAATATTTAGTGCATTGAGGATAGCATGGATGGAGGCTGAGGTGACCATAAGACCTGGATATACCTTTTAAAAAAGAAGGAAATATATTAATAAATGATAAAGATAATGGTAAAAATAAAGTAATTATATGACATGTAATTCCTTCCCTAGTACAATGCTGGAATCCTAGGAAGCTAACAATAAAATAATATATGTACCGCAATTTTCCTATAAGTGCGATTGGGATAGAGCTGCCAACATAAACCTGTATTGTCTGCTTAAAATTATTGCGATTTTGAGTCACCAATATGGGTTTATAAAACAAAATATAACCAATATTAGCCTTTGTCACTTTGCACCAATGGATATGATTTCTCCCAACTAGCCTCAAATATAAACTCAAAATCACAATAACCTATAAACCTCATTAGACATTTTAGGGTGCAGTATGGGTGTTAAGGTTTTGAGTCTGAGGGCGAGAAAAAATACAAGACAACAAGAAATTACTGCACATACTGCATTATATAATGTCTAATACTTTATTTTTTTTATTATCTAATAGATCCCAATTTTTCCCAAAAAGAGACCAGGTTTTTACTGTATGAAATAACCTAAAGTTTAATGGTATGGCATGTAGCACTACAGTTGGTAATAATGTTTGTACAGGCAAAGTGCTGAATTTTACAATGCACTGTTTTGTAACTGTGCCCTTTTCAAAGCCATATTCACTCACAGTTCCTCCAACAATTCTTCCAAGTGGGTACCATGCTCTCTCATCAAACCAGTTAAGGAAGTTGTAGAATCCACTGTTAGCCAAATGATGAGTGGCACGATAGTTGAACCTGTTAACAAGAGAGGAATTTAGAGTACTTACTGTATGTACCACAAGCAACACTGTCTAATGCACCTAAACTATGTTATATATGAAAATGTCAATGAAACAATAAACAATCCCCACCCAGACATATATATATATATCTTTTACAATCTTCCATTACGAGGTTAAAATCAGTTTATCTAACCCAATTTCTAGACAAAAACTAACTAGGCAATTCTCTTTTAAATTACCAGGCATTGAATATATTGATTTATTCATTCATTTATTTATTCAACAATACACTGTCATACATAACAAAGTAAACTAAACAAAAGAGCAAAAAATAAAAATTAGATAGGACAAGCAACAGGAACTACCCATAGAGACATGCTCCATATTTATCCATCCTTTCCACATAATATTACAATAAGAGGCAGAGCAAATTGTCATCCAAATGCAAAATTTTAAAAGCATACTGTTAACAGTTCATATTTTGTACTTTTCTTGTTTTATTGGTATCTAATAAAACTATCTTTTCTGGTCTGGTTCAAGCCCTTATATTGGAGAGCAGACCCACATGGTCTCATTCGAAACGTCATCTATTCACGCTGTATAATTTACCTTTTTATCATTACTGCTTGATGGTCTCATTCTAATTGACTGATCAATTTTACCTCGACAGATAGATAAATTAGCTGCATTTGTTTAGGTATTTTCATTTAATGTGCTTTTAAGAATCTATTTTTATCATTATTATTATCATTCCGGGACTCATCAGACAGAGGGCTTATGAAGTTCATTGAAAAGTTGCAAAGTTTATTTCAAAACTTGAATTCAACAGAAATTTTTATGGAAAAATTTAGCTTTGAACTTGCTTGATTCAAGCTGAGCAAATATGAAAATATTCCGCTTGCCGTTCTAAAAGTTATGAGAAATAAAAGCAGTGTAAAGATCTTTACAGGAGAACTAAATAAGTTTACTAATAAATTAAGTCTCTTATGTGTCTATATGCTACAAACAAAACTCAGTCATAAACAATGGATAACAAAATTAAAAATAAACGCGCAAAACTTTCAACTCCTGCAAACAGAAACTTCAACTATTCAACTAAGAAAGCAATTTGAATATAAATTCAAACGAAAATGAAATGATTTTTTTAGCTGAGAACATGCAAAAAGACAGGTGCAAAATTAATTAGTTGAAATACTACTGTTGGCTACTTTCAAATGCTCATAAACAGATCTGTAAGCTTGCACATTTTATGATGCTACTCTATAAAGCTCTACTGCTTTCGGCAAATTTAAATCAGAAGTTGATTTGTCTTTCATGATGTTCATACTTTTGAGTTAATTCACATCATCAATTTAATAGATTTCCCCTCTCATCGGATCTTTCATATTCAGCTACCAGTTACAAAGCCATACTAAGAGCATGGACTGACAACCACATTAACTCTGGATATAAAATATTGGTCTGTAGTGATCGCAAGTTAATTAAGGTAAACAACTTAGAGACATTTTGAATACCAGAATGAAAAATATATTCAAATATCCATGGTTTTTAGGAAACTATGATGTGTCATGTACGGAAATTTGGGATGTCTGACCCGGTGAGTAGATGAAATACGATCATCGTCTAGCCAGACATCACGAAGGATGAGCTACCTTTCTAGCTGTATTTAAATACTTTTATTCTGTTAAGCATGTGTTAAGAAAAGTTACGAGTAGAGAATAAAGTTCAACCATGTTTTATATTAAAGTAAGTCTATATTAGTGGATAGATTTTCTTACCAAGGATCGAACTCATGGATGATACTTTCGAAGCGGATCACAGCAAACAGACGGCTCGCAAAACCACCCAACCAGGCCAGAAACAGAACGGTGAAGGTTAGCAGAGATTGCCATCCAATGGCCTGAGATTTTACTTCGTTTTCGGCGATTTTGGCCAGTTCTTTGTCAGTGTCATTAGACACTCGTTCAACCTCCATCTTGGATAGTTAGCGCCGCACAGCCACGTTGTGTGACAGCCGACCAATCAGATTACACCACAAGGAATTAGGTACCAGGCTACTCGATTGAGACTTCCGCTTTTTAGCTGGTATATATGAAAGCCACATTTTCCACTTTTTTCTCTTTTCCAGTTTTTTATTTTATCGTTCTGGATTTTTTTACGAAGTCAAAACTTCCCAAAAAAAGGAGTTACAAACTTTAAAACAAAATTGAATTTTTGACAGAATCTTGAGAAGGCACTTGGAACGAGGATCATAAGGTTTAGATTTTGCTCAAAAGAAAGAAAGAAAGAAAGAAAGAAAGAAAGAAAGAAAGAAAGAAAGAATCAACGTTTTAATGATCTTTAGTGGCTTTTTAAATATTTTCTTAAATGTTATCAATTCATTTGTCATTACAGACTAACACTAAATCCATGAAAAACATCATAATAAAATTAACTCTGTATATTTTGATTTATTCCTAAAAAATATAATGTAAATTCTAATAATGTTTTGAAAATATTGTATCCGATTATTTCTAAATTTCTATATACCTAATTCTATATACAAGAGTGTTTCATGGACATTTGCACTCTGAATCTTTTAAACAAATGTATGGCTGATTTTCATAAATTAATTTATTTCTGATTCTATATTTACAATCACCTGAGACCAATAACCGAGAACTCGAAACTTGGAGTATTGAGGCGCGCTTTACACCATCACGTGATGGCAGCCATTACAGGAGGCAGGAACAATTCAATCTGGTCTAATCTGATTTACACGAGAAAAAATTCAGTTTCCCAAGGGGGAAAAGACGTTTTGTGCCTTATGTCATGGCTGCCATCACGTAATGTGCAAAGCCTCTATTAGACTGTTTAACGTGTTAATCTATAAATGCGCATTAGAGTTTGTTTCTTTTAATTCTTGCTAACCAAATTCTATTCGAGCTCAATAAGCCTTTTCATAGTTTAAGAATCGATTCCACTGCGCATGCGATTTTATCCCGAATTTCTTACCTTCTTTTGTTTAATTAAGAACAAAAAAAGGTTTAGACAAAAGAAGGTGAGAAATTCGGGATAAAATCGCATGCGCAGTGGAATCGATTCTTAAACTATGAAAAGGCTTATTGGAGTCATGGAGTGGTGAGCYTCCTGAATTCGAGAATGAATTACTACGCCCGAGCTAAAAAGGTCTATTAGCATTAATATTATTTGCAATCAGTTTCATACTCAGACCTTCCCTAAGAAAGAACGCCAAGTTACGGTTCGATATCTTAGAGCAGTATTCGTATGACTGTGAAAAGCTGGTTCACGTCACGATCACGGACATGCCGACAGGACAAGGCATACGCCATCCAAATCACATTGCACGACTGAGAATTTACTCTCAATCCAATCAAATGCCCAAAACACGTCAGCACGAACACGGCGCGGACACGGTAACGCCAAGGTCATGGCACTGCCAGACCAATCACACTGCGCGAGGGAAAAATTCCTCCAATCAAAATTCTAGAAAATATCAGGTGGTCGTGGCAAGGCGGTACCGACGTTTTCACAGGTAGACGAAAACTGCTTTTATGGACTAATCAACTGAAATCCCCGACCCCCGGGACAGAGCGTAGAGGTAAAGCCGGCGAGACCGGGAATTAAACGCGACTTTAACAGCGCAAGGGTATACGGGAGATTTAACGCGTACTTCAACAGTTTAGCAATTTTAACAGCAACAACTCCAATAATTTTAGTAAGCAGGAAATTGTTCATTTTCTCGAAGGTAAAATACTCCTCTGAGAGTGAAAGAAGGAGCGGGAATTTGCCAGTACATGCCGTTTGATAGGGTTTCCACTTGTACAGCGACTTGTCTGTTTACCTCTACAAGGAGATCGAGAACATGGTAGTGGTTGTGATTCTTTCTGAAGACATCAACCAGAACCTGCAACGATAGAAATTGATACCCGGTATATCAACCATGTATTAACTGCTTGAATTCCAGTTTTCTTCAAACGGGGAGGGGTGGGGCATTAGCCGAATTTGCAGAACGCGTTGCGTCATGGGCTGTCTTAGGGGACGCTTTTTTATTTATATGGCGTCGGTCTTTTTCGCTTGCTGACAGTGATAGGAAACATTAATTGTCGTCATAATTTTCAGAATTATTTCGTTCCTTGATGCATAAAATGTAAACTGTCTGATGAAGCGCCCCTCAAAACAGCTTCATGATGCAATGCATTTCTACAACTCCGAAGCGGCTAATACTTTCGCACATATTTACGTACTTGCACAAAGATAGAGCCTGTCTTTGGATCTCTCAACGCCACATAACCAGGTGTCGTCGCAAACGCCAAAAGAAAGTCTCCCTCAATAGGACACATTGAACGAGGTAAAGTCGAGTCTGTGGTGAGACTCGCGAGGCCATCGATATCGATATCATCGGTATCACAATGGCTTCTATAAGATGAAGATTTAGTTGCAAAACTGGTCCTGGGGCAGTAGGAGCCGGCAACTTCTTCTCGAGAATCTCCCCGACATGCTTGTACAATGAAGAACTTTGGCTTTCCCTGAAGCGACCGGCAGTTTGTTGGTTTGACTGCAGTCATGAGATCTTCAAGGTTAGTCTTTCGATCATCAACACCAAGAAGGATGTTGTTATCTGTTCCATGGGTCATGATGACACAGACAAAAGCATCGAATTCTTCGTGGTCCTTTCTTGAGAAATCATAAAGCTGTCTCCCCATCTCTTCCGCCGTCAAGTTCTTCTTGATTGTTACTGTAAAATGTAACTCCTGAAAAAGGGATTTCAACGCTTTTTCATCGGCATCTGCTCCTTCACGATTACGTGAATTGTCGTAAAACTTGGAATTGCTGATGATGAGGCAATGTCCACGCGGTTTTTTGGTCATACGGTACACATATAAAGGTTCTATAAGAACATATATGACGGTCATTAAAGACTACAGTGGCGACTTTTAGGGGTGGTCTCTCTCAAAATACGAACAGAGCCATTATCAAAACTAGAAATATTTCTTAAGGTTTTTTACTCTAAGAAATGATCCTTTCAACTTGTCTCGTTATGCATTTGCATAACGTTCTGACCGCGCAATGGTGTAGAAAGTTAATCACTAATTCATGCGCGATTAAAAATTATTGCCTATCATATCATAACAAATCATGCATGCATTGCGAGAAACGTTGCGAGATGGGCGTTACATACACTCGGCAATGTCCCGACATTGTCGGCTGCAGCGATTGCGCGCTGCAACGCGAGACGCGAGACACATTGGCCGCCAAACCCTCTCCCCGCTAAACAATTCAGTCCTGTTGATCCACTCTAAAATACCCAAATCAAGAAAAGGCCAAACGATCGACTGCATGACTGACTAAATTAAAAGAAACGAGAGAACTTACTGGACTGTCCAGCTCTTTCCTCTGTGTGCGTGACAGCTTCGACTCTTGCTTGCTGATCTTAATACAAATACCAACATATCATTATATAACCATTCCCAGAGCTTCAATATAACCATTACCAAACTTTCAAAAATTGAACATGAACTCCCCTTGCCTTAACCGAACAAAACGTAATATAACGGGATGATCAAGGGGCACAACCTGTACAACAGTGTGGAAGAGTGAAGCGAAGATATTAAGTTGATATTAATGACAGCCAGCCTCCACGTAACGCCAGCCAAAGGTAAATGTTGATGGCAGGTGAACTGTGCATGAAAGCAAAAGTCTACAGCTATTCTTCGTCACGTCGATAGAAGTTTT